ATTACAAACATACACGCAGACAAGATCTTGAATACATGTAAACGCGTGGCTACGCATGCATATGTTATGTTAAATATATGAAAAATGCATACATATACTAATGATGCACACACCTTTGTTTTTCATGTAAAAATGCCTACAAGACCGTGCGCGCGATTCGTGCTCATCCGATCCTCTGGGATTGCGAGGCTTTCGCGAAGAAGAGAGCAGACAAGGCCAAACCCACCCTGGCGGCACTCGCAGACCTTCATCCGCAGGTGGGCCTCTTGCTGCTACGCTACTGCGAGAGCTTCAGCAAACTCGTGTGCAGCGCCCGCACGACCCCGGCAGCCCTTCACTCGGAAGCACTCGGCAGCATCGACTTGTGCCAGCGTCGCGCGCTCGCCGACCTCTTGGCGGCGGACCTGACGGACGCGCAGTGGCACCAGGCGGCCCGCGGACTGGCTTTTGCTAGCTTAGACTTGCGGCGCCTGGAGGCCCGCGCGCCCGGCGCCTACCTGGCGAGCCTGGCTGCGACCCGAGACCTCTGCGCCGCGCTGGACCCAGCCTACAGGTGGGCGCCGCAGGACGCGAGCACGAGTGCCGGACAGGCGCTCCTCGCCTACAGCGCCCGGCTGCCAGGGAGCGAGCGGAGCGCGCCCAGAAACCTTCGAGGGCGCCGCGCAGAAGGGCCTTCCTGCTGCTTCGGACGACCACGACCACAAGGCCTTCTGCGCTGGCTTGAGCGAGTCAGACCTAGCGGAAATCCATTCCGAACAGCTCCCCGGCGCAAGCGGCTTCCTGGAGGCGCCGCCGAACGGGAACCTCGGGCTGCTCTTCGAACCGAGGAGTTCGTGACTGATGTCAAGCGCCGGCTCCTAGCGCCCGCCTGCGAATCCGAACGCTACTGCACGTGCTGCGACGGCGCGCGCGACAGGCACGGCCGCCACTCGGGTCTTTGCGCAGGCGCTGGGGACCGGGCGCTGCGACACAACGCCGCCCGAAACCTGGTCGGTTGCTTTGCTTCGTCGGGCGGCTTCAACCCGGAGCTGGAACGCCAGGGCTCTTGCCGCCCCGGCCTGACGACACTCAGGTCAACGGGCGTCGCCCCGCGGACGTCTACGTGCCATCTAGGTTCCGAGGGACACCTGCTGCTTTCGACTTTGCGGTATCTTCGCCGCGTCGGCAGGCTGCTCTCGGCATGGCTCGACTCGGCCTAGGGCGTGCGGCCACAAGCGTACGAGGCGACCAGGCGTGAGCACCTGGGCGCCGAGGCCCAGTGCAGGCGGCAGGGGATAATGTTCGCCCCCCGGGTGGCGGCACCGTCGGGCGGATGGGGCCCCTCGGGCGCGGACGCCATCCGCCGCCTAAGCTCGGTCCAGCGACGGGCGCCACGGACAAGAGGCGGGCGCCGGGGCGGCTCGCCTCTTCCTGCAGCTCCCTGTGGCCATACGCAGGGCCACGGCGCGGGCTGTGCTGCGTAGGCACGCAGAGCCCCCCGAATACGCGTGCGCGCTGTCCGCTGCTCTCAGCCTGCTGGCGGCTCCGGGCGGCGACGACTCCTAGCCTTCCTCGCCCCCCTCCTCCGTTTCTTCTGCCCCCCCCTCCCTCCCTCGTCTTCCCAGGGCTCGGAGTCGCGATGCTTTGCGGCGCGGCGCCCTGTCCGAGGTGCCCTTTCGGGATAGCGCCCCCCGCCAGGGACTTGCAAAAAATCTCCCTCCGATGGGCGCCGCGCCCGCGCCGGAGTTTCCTTCAGCTGCCCCTCCTGCCTGGCCAATTTTTTTTGTTCGGCGTGAGTTCCTCCCTCCCTTCCCCCCGCGCCTAGCGGTGGGGGTCGGTGGCTCAGGTCCTACGGCCGCGCGCCCGTTTCCTCCGCCTTCCTGTTCCTCTCCCCTCCTCCTCCCCCTTCTCCCCCCTCCGGGGTATGTACCGCCCTAGTCGCCGGGCGTCCTTGCCCGCGCTCGGTCTTTCAGTTCCCCCCCTTCCCTCTGGCATTTGGCCGTGGCGGCGGGGCCGGACAGGTGGTGCACACTCTGGACAACAATTGTTGTTGGACATTGTCCCGTTTTTTCCATGTTCAGTGGGGGCATTTCTGATACTGATGGTGATATTCGGATGCTGCTGATGACGGCGGTGCTGATGTTGATGATGATGATGTTGATGGTGATGATGCCGACGATGCTGATGATGATGTTGATGACGGTGACGATGGCGAAGATGATGCTGCTGCTGCTGATGATTGTGCTACTGAGGATCACGCTCACGACCACAATCCCGACAACAACGATTCGAATCATTGCGACGACGACGACGACGACGACCAAGGCGGCGACGAGGACGACAACGAAGACGACGACGGCGACGACGACGACGGAGAATAAATATGGGGAGGAGGAAGGGAGGGAGCAAGTGGAGGACTTGCAATAAGATCACAACCGGAAGATAATCACAACGTTTGTGAACGAACGAGGTTTGAAGGCTTTCCTTTCAAAGGGAAAAGGAGGAGAAGGAAGAGGAGGAGGAAAAGGAGGAGGATGAGGCGGAGAAGAAGGAGCGAGGAAGGAGGATGGGGAGGACGGAGGAGGTGGGAGAGGAGGGATGACGGGTGAGGGACAAAACCGACGAGGAGGACGATGCCGACGAGGAAGACTAGGAGGACAAGGTGGAGGAGGAGGAGGAGGAGGAGGAGGAGGAAAAGGAGGAGGAGGAGGAGGAGGAGGAGGAGGAAAAGGAGGAGAAAAGGGAGGAAGAGGAGGAGGAGGAGAGGAGAGGAGGAGAGGGGAGGAGGAGGAAGGAGGAGGGGGGAGAGGAGGAGGAGGAGGAGGAGGAGGATAGGAGGAAGAGGAGGAGGAGGAGGAGGAGGAGGAGGAGGAGGGGGGAGGGAGGAGAGGGAGGCCTACGGTGAGGAAGGTGGACGAGGAGAACGAGGGCGAGGAGGAGAAGGCGGAGTGGAGTAGGGACGAGGAAGACGAGCAGGGCGAGGGGAGGAGGTGGAGACGAGAAGGAAGAAGGAGGAAGAAGGACGAGGAAGGAGGAGGAGGCGGAGGAGGAGGAGGAGGAGGAGAACGGAGGAAGGAGGAAAAGGAGGAGGAAGAGGAGGAGGAGGCGGAGGAGGAAGGAAGGAGGAGGAGGAGGAGGGAAAGGAAGAGATAGGAGGAGGGGGAGGAGGAGGATGAGGAGGAGGAGTAAAATGAGGATGAGACGAAGGAGGGAGGCGGAGGAGGAGGAGAGGAGGAGGAGGTGGGGAAGGAGGAGGAGGGAGGAGGAGGAGGAGGAGCGGAAAGAGGAGGAGGAGGGGAGCAGGAGGGAGGGAAAGGAAGAGAAAGGAGAAGGAGGAGGAAGAGGAGGAGGATGACGAGGCGAGGAGGAGGAGGAGCAGGAGGGAAGGAGGAGGAGGAGGATGAGGAGGACGCCGGCCCAGCACCAGGCCAGCCTCGCCGCCGCCACGGCCGCCCCCGCGGCTCGCGTCAGCGCAACCTCGGCCTCCGCTGCCGCCAGCGCCGCCGCCCGCGCGGGGAGCGCGGCGGTCGCCGCCGGCGCGACGTCGGCGACCGCCGCCGCCCTGGCGGCGAAACCAGCGAGGAGACGATCATCGGCGGCGAGCGAGGTCCTGGTCCTCCCCTTCGTCCTACTCCTCGTCTCTTCCTTCTCGTCCTTCTCCTCCTCCTTGTCCTTCTCCTTCCTCCTTGCTCCCTCCTTCCTCCTCTCCTCCTTCCTCCT